GTTGGCTATAATCATCTCATATCCAACAAGCGAGAGTGGAATAATTGTTTTACTAAAAAAACGCCCCCAAGAATCTTCTCGACTTTATTTTGTGAGAAGAAACTGGATTTAACAATGTACAGAAATTAGATTATGGTATATTGGCTGATATACCATAATGGCTGAGCCAATAAAAAGTCTTGAATTGCATTATCCAATGATCCAGTTTTTAATAATAGCCAATATACCATAATCTAATATCTGTACATTATACCATCCAGTTTCTTCTTACAAAATAAAGTCGAGAAGATTTGTCTAATATCTTGGGGGTGTTTTTTTCAATAAAACAATTATTTCACTCATGCTGGTTGGATATGAGATGATTATAGCCAACTCAGCACTACATGCCTTGTTGGCTATCTATCATCTCATATCCAGTGCGCACTTGTGGAATAGTTGTTAAATGTACAAGAACTTCCTCAAAAACACCTCTAACATTGATTTTGGGAGATAAACATGGATTTAATTTTACTTTAAAGGTTATAGACCACTTTCATAAATGGCTGCCGTATAAATATTCTTTTGTTTAAATTTAAATTAGCCCTTCTGGCCTCGCTTGAGATAATGTATTCTTTTGAATTTTGTACTGGGGAACGAGGCCAGTAGGGCTAATTTAAATTTAAACAAAAGAATATTAATCCGGCAGCCATTTATGAAAGTGGTCTATTCTTATTTTTTTTTGTGTGGTTCTACTGAGGGTTAGGGTTACGGTTAGATAACAGAAGTGACCTCAATAGAGGTGAAAATTGTAGTAATGAAGGAAAGAAAATGCGGGACTTTAAAAACCCACCAGTTAATACAGGGTGACTGCTTGATACAGGGCTGGTTTAAACAGGTTTGATTGTATTATTGTGGGTCTCCTGATGAAATCACTTCCAATGTGAATCAAGATGTTCCATTACATACACACTTACTGTTACTTTTCTCCAGGCATTGAATAGACTGCTATCATAGGATAAAGCCAATTAGGCATCAGAAAACTATTCTATTTTGTAAACTGTAAGCATCAGGTGTGCAGTTAGTAGTTTTGAGGGTTGTGTAGGCATTTTTAACTCTATTGTGATTGGTCTGGTTGTAGTTGCCCATCAGAACCAAGCCAAATTGCTTATGGTTTTCTGAGTTAATTGTTAGATAACTTCCTATGTTAGATTTTTAACGAAAACTAGTCAGAAAATTCTCAATATCCTTGCAATTACCAGTTGTCTCTCTGTTTGTGCAAATATTGTATAAAAGGGTGCAAACAAAGAGATAGGAGTAACTTTGTTTCTGTTTGTTTGTAGGTGGTGAACATTCGTAAACTTCTAACGGAAGTTCTTTTAACGGTAACTAATGAAGAGGTCAAAAAAATTGCTCAGGAGACTTATAATGATGCACTTAGAGGTAATGTTGTACTTTTATTCATGATTGTGACTATAGTAAATTATGGGAATATTCCATTATAACCTGTTGTGTTTTTGAATATTTTTGTAGGTCCAGCTCGACAGCTGCAACACTCAGGAGGCTTGGATGCTTTGCGCGGAAAAGGAGGATATTTAGGTTTGTTATTACACATTAGGAAAGTCTCCTTTTTCTCAGGAGTCACTTTGCTGCACTTCTGTATGAACATGACTGTAATGACCCAAAGAACTGCAAGCGGAAATTACTTCCTGTACGATGCGCATCTGGTAACATTTTATTTAAGCGACTTATAATGTCCCTTCCAAAAACAGCAATCAATACGTTTGACTTTAATCTAGACTGATAAAAAAATGCACCTTTAACTCTTTACCTTGCCATTAATTACTTCCATTAATTTAGGGGACTCTTATTAAGGCGCACAATGTTTAGTCCCGAGCGTGTCCATTTGGTGTTGGTTCCACCATGTATGTTAGCATTTGGGTGGAACCTAAGATAAATCTCCTCGAGGGAGATAATGTGTCGCCGTCAAGTGGCTTCGAGTTATTTCAGACGAATTAGAAGCACTAAATTGTTAAGCAAAACCTTGTTGCGATACTTTAGCTCAGAAAAAAATTGCTCAATCAATTGAATGGATTCTAGATGACTTAACATCGTGTTGCATTTCTTCTCAGGACTTGGAGGTTACGGCTCAGACAGTGAAAGTGCATCCAACGATGACTCGGGCAAGGAAAAGCCATATGCTGATGAAGATGAAAGAAAACACCACAGTGCCGACGCTGAAGATGGAAAGATACGAAGAAGCCGATCGCGAAGCCACCCCAGCAGAGAAACACATCACAGACACGAGTCTGCCTTTGAAAGCGAAGAAGAAGCAGCTAAAAAGAAAGAATATCGCGAGCGTAGTAAAAAGGGAAGGCGACATAGGAGTCCTCCGAGTTCAGACAGCGAAAGCGAGAGCTCTGTCTCGACTCACGAAAAGAGTCGTCGGAAAAAGCATCGGCGGCGAGACAGGAGTGATACTCCATCTCCGGACCGCCAAAAAAGACATCGTCGACGTCACGGGAAGAAAAGCCGCTCACGAAGCAGATCGCCAAGGAAACACAGCAGCAGTAAAAAGAAAAGGAAAAGTGAGAGTGACTCGACCGAGAGCGATACTGAAAGCAGATATTCTATTAGTAAACATAAGTCATCTAGGCGTAGTAGGGAATATTCACAGAAGGACAAGAAGCATCGTCGAAAACGAAGATCTTCCAGTTCGTCGCCACCACCGCCGCCGCGTAATGAAAAGGACGGTAAGAAGGACAGAAAACGGTGATCGTGCTGTGCATCATTCAGGTGGATTTTCTTTCCTGTTTTCAGTTTCTGTGAATGATTGTTTCAAGTATCACTGTGTCTGTCTTTACTGTGTTCTGTTACCTTGCCTGGGTTTCATAGAGGGAAGGCATTTTTGGTTTGTGTGACTCACTTCAATATGTTTTGTTTGTTTAAAATCTTTATGGTGTTGATTCGTTGTTCGCTCGTTGAAGAGGAAATGCGTTTGCTTATTAGTCCAACCAAGCCACAGTTATTGAGTCTGTACTTGTGTATATTGTGGTTGGAATAACTCCGAAATTGCTCTACATTTACATAAACTTCTCCCTTCGTGGTCTGAATAGCCTCTTTTAAGGCATCTCTTAATTGTGGCCCAAACATTCTCAAACCAATGGTATGGTTATTGTCATGCGTTTCATTGGTTGTCATTTGTGCCACGAATTCAAAAGCAAAGAAATATTCAATCAGAGGAACGTAGAGATCGTTGCGCACAAGTATCCTGGTCATGACATCATTTGGGGCTCACCCTTTCACTTCCCTGTAGCTGAAGAAACAGTGTTTGAGCTTGTGTAGTCCTGTCAGTCACGTGTCCGTTGGTTAAAGTGAAGTGTCCTGGTCATGACATCATTTGGGGCTCACCCTTTCACTTCCCTGTAGCTGAAGAAACAGTGTTTGAGCTTGTGTAGTCCTGTCAGTCACGTGTCCGTTGGTTAAAGTGAAGTGTCCTGGTCATGACATCATTTGGGGCTCACCCTTTCACTTCCCTGTAGCTGAAGAAACAGTGTTTGAGCTTGTGTAGTCCTGTCAGTCACGTGTCCGTTGGTTAAAGTGAAGTGTTGTGAAGTGTTGTGTTGCTTTTCTTTTTGTGTGCTCTTACCTGATCAGGTTATATCGTATGCTCTCTTGCAGGCATAACACAAAATGAAGCATTACCAGAGCCGATAATTTTAGTTTCAGTTTATTTTATTGGGGATGAGGACTTGATTCCTCCCCACGGTGCGACTTGGAACGTCAAATCGAAATCGAAAACTTCAAAATCAGCCATGTTGCTGATAAGACGGACAATTGCGTAAACTGTACCTTTTAAAAGATCAAATTAAAATAGAATTTTTATGAACCTTGGTGATGCTCTTATCTCTTACAATCTGCATGAGTCTTATTTCTTTTGTGTGTGTATGTGTGGGGGGGGGAGGGGGGCACTTCTCTGTTGATTTGTAATCTAATCTTCCCTCTAATACAGCAGTTCTGCACGAAAGGCAAAATTGATCTTCATGAGTACGAGTAAGGTATGGTTACTCGAGAGGGAAAATAAGGGATCTTGGTCTTTTAAGTTTCTAATAGCTTGGGATTGTAGTCATCAAGTGAACATCAGGGAGATGTTGCAAAGGTCGGAGCCTTCTCACAAAAAGTAAAGTCCTGTTGTTCACTCCTGCGTTCTGTTTGGCTTTGTCGATCTTCCTTTTTGCATAGTATTCCTAACATGAGTTCATTTAAGCTTTCTATTGCGATTGAACAGGGCTTGGCGGCTTTTGCTAGAATTCTTTTCCTTGTTGGCTTAAAAAAAATCGTATCCTCACCCCTTTCAATTGAATCATCCTTTCGCTCGATTGAAGTGTCATTGTAGCGCTAACTTGACCTACAGTTGAAGTGGAAATCCTCCGGGAGATGAGTTTGTCGACCAACCCGCTGAAGCTTCAGGCCAGTGTAAACATTTTACCGGACCGAAGGTCTGCAGCAACGGAATGCCTATCATACATAAGTCACGTACCCCACATCACAAGGAGACTAAGCCTGAAGTTACGATCGTTAGCCGTTGGTCCTCGCTCTGACGTGGGGCTTTAGAAACTTTTTGCTCTGTCCAATTTGCGTTNTCGAAATAAATTCTGACCAAGAGCTCGGTTTTTTTTTCTTTTGAACTGTTTTAATCATTTCAAATGTAATGATCGCTTAAATTTGCTTCAACATTTTTGCTAGTGTATGCTGAATTACTTAATGCAGTGACAAAAAGAAGCAGACGCCTAGGGAAAAGATACAAAGACAGTGCGGAGTCTTGACTGGGCATACTAACTTTAGCGCAACTCTTATTAATTGAGATAATACAGCTAAGTGTGGAAAATTAAATATTTCGTGTTCCAGTTTTTCCCGTAAAAAGCAGAGGTTTTTTGTTTTGTAATTCTACATTAAGCATTTATTGGCATCTGGGTCCAGACCATTAACGTCCTCAGGAAGGCACCAAACTAAACAAGCGGCACGATCAAAATATAGTACAAATGGGCCGATGGTAGAAGGCCTATATGTAATAATTGTCATAAATGGAATAAAATCCTAGATGTAATACCACTTTTTATGTAATAACATGTCCGGTCACGCGAGTGCAATCCCATGGAAAAAAATCATAAATGCCAACGAGTGTAGGGCCGGACGGGTTGACGTGAGCCGTGTAGAAGGCCTAAATGTAATAACTGTCCTAAATGTAATTGCACTTTGCCCTATATGCAACCGTTCATCTCTGCCAGTGCATTATTGTTACAGTAGACATTCAAATTGAGATTTTGTAAATGGTAGCTGTCGCACCAAAGAACCCTCTGACCAGTATTCATGACACATAGCCGGCTCGCACTGTATCAATATCAGCTTCTTTCTTTGCCAAAGACGTAAGTCAAAAAGCATTGCAAAACGTTATATTGATGTGAGATGTGCGCATCATGGTCAGTTAAGATCAGTTAATGGTCTAATGAATCATTCTTTTGTTTTATCTTTTCGCCCCCTAAGATGTTTTTTTTCCAAAATGGAAAATATACTCCACAGTTAATCTCAAGTTTTTATTTCATTTGTTATCGATTTTAATTTTTTCTCCTCGCCGTCAGTGGGATTACTTTGCTTTTTTTCTTCATTCATTTTCCATTCTCGGCTTACCTGCACAGAAAGGTACCGCTGAGTGAGAATAATTGAGAAGAATTTGCTACCTTTCTATAACATCAAGAAATGGTTAGATATTCTAGTCTTCTCGGATAGAGACGAATAAATGGCGGTCCCTTCTCCTGCAGTGTTGGGGCAGGAGACGTTAATTTCCCACGCACGAGATTACTGTGTGATGGATGTCCTCCCCTGGGGTGGGATGGGTGGTTAACAGGACTCCGTTGAAACCAGTGTTTACTGCATTGAAGGAGCTATCCTGTATAAATATAGATGTTTACTCTACTCTAATAGAGTTATCTTTCGAACAGCTTTCTTCTTGAGTGCAACTTTCCCTACGCATTTCATTCTGTCTAGTACGAAGCGAAGACGTTCACCGTACCAGATAAAAGATTGGAAAAAATTTCACCATCACTTGAAGAACTTACATTTTTCCTTTGGAAGTAATCATTCAACCAACCGACAAACAAGAATAACCTAAACTAATCACAAAATGCGTATTTTTATCAGTTACTTACATTGACGGTTGCCATGGAAATGGTGGGTATTGTCAAAGTCAGATTTTTATTTCACTTAATGCAGGGCCACTTTAAATAGCAGACGCTCAAAAGTTAATTTCGTAGACTTCACAAACTTGACTGCCACTGCAAAACCAGCACTCACAGGTTACTCAGAAACATTGGCCGAGATAAGTCGTATGAAGAGCGCTCTTCATCAGAGAAGATTACTTTGTTCGCTTACGAGTGCTGTAAGTTAACGGAGTAGACCCACCAGAAGATTTTACGTTTGCACGTGATTTTTGACAGTAAAGAGATAACCATCTCTATCAACTTAGACCATTGCCCGCAAAACAATAGAGTTTTTTTTATAAGTATTCTTTAATAATAAAGTATTATCGTTTGTCTCACGATATAGTCACTTGTGATGTGGATCGCGACGTTTCAACTGCATACTGCTAGTCTTCATCAGGCGATAAGGTCGACTGGCTTTGGTCTCTGTACATATAGTCAATGAATGGAATAACTTACCTAAAGACTTGGCGGAGGCAGAAACCGTCAGGATGCAATTTTAGAATGTTTGGGGAAATTTGTGGAATATTTTATCGTGAGTTCAGAGGTAAATTTGCGTTTTTAATTATTTTAGGAGACAAACTTGAAAGGGATAACTTCGTTTGTCTCCTTTTCACCTTTCACTTGAATTTGAATTGTGAATAAACAGTTCTGTATGTATGACCCATTCGCCAGAATGATCGCTAAAGCTCGTTCATGTAATTGAAAGAGCTCAAAAGTTTGCAAACGGAATAATGAACTATTATTTCCAAAGGTTTTTCGTCCGGAAAAGGCTCTGTTATGGTTGCCGAAAAGTAGCAAAATTTGACTAAAAATATTTTCATTCGATAAATGACATATTTTTATTCGCTAAAAATATTTTCATTCGATAAAGGACATATTTTTATTCGCTAAAAATAGATTGCATTTGATAAATGACATTTTTATTTGTTAAAATATTTTAATTCGATAAATGACATATTTTCATTTGTTAAAATATTTTCATTCGATAAAAATTTATTTGTGTGCTAATTAACAATTGGTTCATGCTTTAGCGTGCACTATCGAGTTATGGAGCACGTGGGAAGTTTGGAGAGCACTCAAGAAGCTAGAGTTGCCCTCGGCCATTGCCTCGGGCAACTCTTACGCTTCCTTCGTAGTAGTAGCTTAAGTATGTCTTCTTTCTTATTGGGTCAGGTCTCATACTTTGACTCTTAACTCTATATCAGGATCAAACAGCTTTTTTCACTTACGACTTAATAATTTTACACTTGTTATAAGCACCGAAAGTAGACATTGCATGCCTATCATGTTCGCTCTTGTGTTGGCAAAACAGGGCAAGTCAATAAGTCATGTCTACAGTACTTAGTCGCTACTAGATAAATAGGGTTTATTACAGCGAGGAACGCTTTCGTGTATCTTATGAAACCGCAGTACACATATATGATTTTCATTTATTCAAATTTATTGGCGGGTTTAATACGAACCAACATAATGACCTGCTCCCAGTTGGCTTGTTAGCTCAGTTTGTAGAGCAATGCACCGGTATCGCAGAGGTCATAGGTTCAAATCCCGTACGGACCTAAAAAATTTTCAGGCCTTATTTCCACCTATTAGATTAGTAGGGTTTATTACTGCGAAGAACGCTTTCATACATTTTATGAAAGCGCAGTAAACATATAATATTTTCATATATTAACTGAGTCGTCGTCATCATAACGCATTCTAGTGTCTTAGTCAAAAATTGTCTTCGGTTTTTAAATGTCATCCTTTCGCGGGATTTCGCAATACTCGTACTCGCGGGTTTCATAATATGCCCGCTGACCAAAATATGTGTTTACTCTTACCCTCGACGAACGCCTTCGATATAGCGTCACCCATTTTATGTTGTCCAAAATGCAGAGGATGGATCGAAACAGGGAATTGAATCGCTCGATCATACGGAGTAAAGTGAGGCAGGCCATCGGTGAGTACTTTGCCAACAGAAGTAGTCCTCATGCTGCACCGAGTGAGTGTCAATGTAGTAATTTTCAAGTGATATCTTGCAGCGAATGAAGTCGCTCTTTTGTGTAGTCTACTGAAACTTACGAAAGCTTTTGTGTTTTTTATAGTCACACCATAGACACCACAACAACTTGAAAGTAATCAGGATCAGCGTTTAGCTCAACACCAGTAAGTTCTTAATCGGGCAAGAGACATACTGAGATCAAATAGCATGACGAGTAATGGTAGCTAAAGCTTTCCTAAAAGACCCCGTCTAGATAGGAAGAGATATGTTGTTCCAACTGTTAAAGAGTTTTGCAAAACAGTTCTACAATGTTTACAGTAGATAAGTTGAGTCCCAAGAACTGCATTTTATTGGGGAAGGAAAAAAGGCAGAAACAAGGATTTAATTAAAATAAGCAATTGAATGCCTTCAGCCTAGTTTGAAAGGACAACTACGGTAAGATTATAAACTTCTCTTAACATTACGCAGGAACAGATGTAAATGTATATGTTCTGTTATAATTTTAGTCATCGCTTCATTTTGTGCAATCAGTTCTAAGAATAATTTTTTGCTTCAATCTTGTTCATTTACTTAAAAATTTTCAAACAAAAAAATAATTCAGTTTGGTTAAAAAATTATGTCAATCAAAAACGAATTTATTTCAAACTTCAACATGTAGTTACATGTTCTTTTTTATTTCAAGATTGCGTTTAGCACATGAACGTGTAGCCTGCGAACGCAAACGTATTTCCGGCTGTCGCTTGTCTTCGCCAAAAATAACGTCTGCGAACCCGAGCCAGGAAACGATTTCTGTGACGTAATTCTTTGGCCAATCAGATTCCATGATAGAATGAAACTCGAGTGCTCCTCGCAGCGAATACCTTGCGCAGTAGTTCTGGGGCTACTTGAGCTAAATTGTGATTGGCTTAAAAATTCCTACGTCACAGAAATCGTTTCCTGGCTCGGGTTCGCAGACGTTATTTTCGGAGGAGACAAGCGACAGCCGGAAATACGTCTGCGTTCGGAGGCTAAGGAACATGCCTTTTCGAAATTTTAGAAGCCTGCATTAGATAGTTGAAGAACTTCAGCATGTTGCAGGTCTGTTATATGACTTACAGGTTGTCAAAGGAAAATTCAAAGTTACTCAAGCAATTCACTGTAAGCCTCAAGGTTACTCAAATATATTTCTATACCAAAGCTGCTAGATTCAGCCACTGGATTAATTAGCTGTCTGAATTCTTCGAACAGTTCTTCTGGGAAAGGATTCTCTATGTCTTCAACTTCAACAGATCCATGTTCCTCCAAAGGAGACGGGCCCTCTGGATCAGTACCATACCATTCCATCATATCTTGGGTAATTGCATTATTCTGCATTTGTCGATGAAGCATGCCATTGACCCACAGCCTCTCAGGTGACCAGTTGCGCTCGGTTCGTACTGGCCTCAAATTAGATGCTCTTGTAAACTCATCAAGGGCGACATTGATTCGTGGAAGGAACACTTGATGTAGTAAAAACATCTGCAGAGGGTTACTGACGCTCAAGTAACCACTCTCTTCGAAAGAATAAAAACGACGTAAAATAAAAAAGAAACACAACGGAATACTTCTCTCCATAGACGCTCAATCCTTTGATTTCTCGTGGCTGGCCCTGCAATAAAACTGCCTCTTCCTTCACCCCTTTCTCGAACTATAAATCTTGCAACCTCTACGCTTTCACCCCCATGATCACCTCTTACGAGAGAAGGCACACCAAACTGTTGTACTGCCCTCTGAAAGGCTGACATTGCTATATCAGTCCGATTGTTGGTTGAACATCTTAAAAATGAAATCATTCTAGAAAAGCCGTCGATACAGCCATGGACTACAAATCCCCATCGTATTAGACTATGATGCCCATCTATGTGCCATAACGAGTTGGGCCAAGGCACACTGTACACCCTCCTTGTTATTACCATTGCCCATCGAAGAGCACTGTTTTCAGGGTCAACCCTATTGAGTGCTGCACGGACGCGTTCACGCTGTACGAGATGGCCCAGAGATCAAATATACCCTAACAAATACGACTGTCCAGTTGTCGTTCCATATCGAGATATAAACCCGCGAATAACCTCGTCGAGTTGGTCGTCGCTTATGTTTGACCACCTGCTGCAGCTCAACCCATACTCTTCAGTCCACTCTACGATAGATAGTCCATCTTGATACTCGTAGCATCTGCGCAATCTGATTCCAGGTGCACCCCAGGCTTCTAAGATTTTCAAGAAGTTCCTCTGCAATGATGAAATTTGGTCTTCCAGGTTGCGATGTATGTGCAACGCTTGCGATCCTAAATCGACAAGACTTGCTGTTCTCCTACCTATTCAGTCATCCTCTCAAACCAGAACTGATGTATTTCAGAAAAACACTCACAGAGCTGCAGTAAATTGTTTCTACAACATAGATCCTCACTCTGATGAAGGACACTTCGCAGAACGGAGAGTACCCGGTCAAGACGATTGAAAAGCAGCGCCGCTGAGTGGAACTCTAAGTTTATAATTCTGGCGTTGTGTTCGCACCTATCCAGACGATTTTCAGCAAATATAAAAAAAAATCATTCCAAGCAGTTGCATCTACCGTTGCATCTAGGTCTAGATTTGTAGCCATTTTCAGACAGAACGTAATGATTTTGGATAATGGCGGGAAGCTTTGTGACCGTTCCATGCTTTGTGGCCATGCCTCCTTGGGTCACGTGACTTTATCGAAAATATCTTTTATCAAATAAAAAAACATCGAATAAATATATGTTTTATCGAATGATAAAAGAGCACGGAAACAGCTTTAGCACACAAATAAATTTTTATCGAATGAAAATATTTTAACAAATAAAAATATGTCATTTATCGAATGAAAATATTTTTAGCGAATAAAAATATGTCATTTATCGAATGAAAATATTTTTAGTCAAATTTTGCTACTTTTCGGCAACCATAATATACTACAGGTACCCGCTCAGAATATTAAAACAAGCCGTTGATAATATTTCTTTGGGACAAGACCAGCAACATTATTAGAAATGATTTTTCGGTGTTATTACTTAGACATTTGTTTCACCTGCATTCGAAAAAAGACGATTCACTTTTCATAATTAATGATGTACATTTAGCGCCGATTTGCATATCTTCAGAGCTACGAGAAGTCTATCTTCTTCCTGCGTTTTGAAAGGAAGAATTGTGAAGGAAGATTGAACAAAGACTCATGTCTGTAAAGCAAACTTTGTTGGAGTTCAATACTCCTCTTCTCACACCACACAACCAAGAATTTGAAGGAAAAATTCAAAAGGAAATAACAGAAGTACTGCATGATACATTCGGGAAAGAGGTCTCTATTTGCCGTCCAAAATCTAACATTTTACTTTTCTTTTTCGATAAGACTGAAACGTAAGTAGAAAATACCTTGAATGTATCTATTATTTGAACGGCTGTTGTGCCCACACTTGTAGTTCGACTTTTATTGCACAAATCCCCAAGCTACATGATTGTGTTTCATATCATCTATATTTTATGTGATGCATAAACGGGGTCGGACATTTTTTCACCATTTGCGTCCTTCTACCCTTATTTCTTTTGTGTGGCTGCTCTGTTCAAGATCTGGATGCAGCAGCCTGATGCTAAAGGTATAGAATGGTCAATTCGGGACTTGGCAAGACCCTGCTTTTAAAATTCGAGACCTAGACTTCACCGTTTTTTTCAAAGTCAAAACATTTCTTCTGAAAAATCCGAGCCCGAGACTCTAAGTGCAGAAAATTTCGAGGTAATGGTATCAATAAAACTACATAAAATGCTTGAAAACGTCAGTGAAAGCATGCAGAAGCAATAGCACTGCCTCAGCTTATTAGTCTGACACCAAACCTGGCTTCGGCCTGGGTAGCATTCCCGTACATTACAAAGCCTTTTTTGAGAGCCTACAAGTCATTTGAGCTCGTGTAACTTCGTGTGGCTTTCTTGGAACTAGCTCTAACTACTCTCAAGGAATCATCCGAGATCGAAAAGAAAAACTGTTTTTCAGTTAGCTCTTTCGGCAAGGAGGAAAGAATTACTAGTGAACGAGGTGTGTCGGTTTCAAATGTTTCTGGCAAGCGGAGAAAGCGAAAATGCAACTTCATTAATTAAGCGCCGTGATCTACCCTACAAATGGTACTATAATCGACCCCTGTTTTTATGCTTGCTAAAATAAATTTTCCCTTTAGTTTATATAGCTTGATATCGGGTACAATTTTCAAGACTCCGAGACGAGTCGATTTTTTAGTGAGCCGAGATTGCGAGACGCTCATAATTCAGTCTATTTTAAAGGACGAGATTTCGAGATCGGGCCAAATTTTTCTGAGACCCACGTTTTTCGAAGTACCATTCTATGCTGTTTCCCTGGCTCCGAGAGCTCATGTTTTTGATTCTTGGTGGAGAAAATTCGGAATTTTGGCATTGTACGTGCAACGTTAAGTTTGTTACTTTGCTTTTGATCGGTTTCACGACGCTCATTTGGATAATAATGACTACGTGTTGGCGCTCATTGTTTTCGGTGCCTGAGATTATAATCGACAAGCGCTATTTGTGTTTTGTATGCTGTAGTCAACGAGCAGTCCTGCCTTTTCGGCGAATTCCGTCGCGCGAGTGAAAAAAAATTGCTTCTAAGGCGCCACGTGGTGACGAAGTGACGCCGATGCAGGCGCTGCAGGAGCTCCATGCCGTGAGGTGGTAGAGAAGTAGCGCCCCGCCCATGGAGCTCCTGCGGTGCATTGGAACGATTTATCATGTACTCGCCGGAACACTAAAACCTTATCAGCCATAAAAATGGAATTAAAAGCTCTTCTATCAAAGTTTGAAACGTAAAGGTAACTTTGACGCGGTTCAAATAAATGTTATTTCTTTCAACTTTACAGGCAGTGTACTGTTCGAGCATTCCCTGATGGCTTGGTCACCCTTGATGTTGTGCAATACATTGGTGATAGCAACATCCACGAAGGAAATGAAAACAACAGGTCATACCCGATCTGGACCAAGGATGTAAGTTCCTGGAATGACAACATCACGTGATCTCAAACCTGCAAGAACACACAGGCACAAACCTTGCTGTTTATCCTTTTCTTTTTTCATTAATTTCTTTACTATTCATGCCAACAACATATTACTTGCAACACAAAAACTATTATTCCTGTATATTACTCACAGTACAAGGTTTGCAACACGACCTACATCAAACCTTTTTAACAATGACATGACATTTTTTTATTTAATACCACCTTATTTCAACAGTGAAAACCTTATTCATGAAATAAAATTCTAAAAATAATAACACCCGCAGAAAAGGATCACAGATTACAAAGCATGCAGTTGAGTGTCGAAAAATCAAAAGCAGAGCAACCCCGGATTACATTGGACCCTCAATTGAAAAATATTCCAACCCCAAGATAATTACCCACAATCAATTACATAGACCGAAGTGAAGATCGTACGATTTTGAAAAAAAATTCATTCGGAGGAAACTTTTGCTGTATATAATTCTGAAAAATTTACCCGCAAATTTTACAGTTTCCACTGTTATTTTTCATTATTTTTCTCCGCGAAGTTGATTTACTGGATAATTGACCAGTATGTCGCAGTTCTCTGTAGTCTGTGAGATTTTCCATGTGTTTTCCTTTTATATCTGATTTAGGATTTGGTTGATTTGAGAAAACGCATCAAAACGAGGTTAAATTGCTCGCGAGCGAGGTACATTCTTCCAATCACGAGAGGTAGGGAGATCCAATGCTACCGGGAGACAACTGATGACAGGATCATAGAGTATGACTTTGACAGGTACCGGTAATCGACCCGGTAATCATGACTTTAAGCAGTCAGGATGGCAACGCCACAGAAGACGTCCATTAAAAAATGAGTTTCTACTTTTAGTTAGAATTTCCAAAATGGCTGCATGTGTTTACCGTCTCATAGGGCGCCAGACCTCAAACTCAACATAACGCATAAAAGCAGCGTTGAGTTCCAAATGTAAATTAAAATAATTTGCC